ACAGCGACTTAATGATTCTGTCTTGGATGCACGAGAGTTTGGCCTCATTGTCAGAGGTGCTGAGCATCCTAAGTCCCCCCTCAGCCCATGGGGACGGCCAGCACTCGGCACCTTGGGGCTGTCCCATGTCCCACGGGTGCTGAGGAAATCCCCCCACCTGGCAGGGAGGCTTTCCCTGAGGTTTGGGAAATTAAAAGCTGTTAGCAGCTGGCCTGGGCTAAAGACCTCATATCTCAACCTGCTGCACCCAAATCCATCTCCGGGAAGGTGGATTAGGGTTTGCAGTTCTGTTTGAACTGTGCTTTTACTCCCTGCAAAGTGAAGATGAGCAAGTCCTGCCCGTGATGCTGCCCCTGGAGCAGAGTGCGAGCCCTGCACTCTCCAGAACGTTTACCACTGGCACCAGGAGGCAACCAAGGCATCTTCCCAGCCCAGCTTGCATATTCCCTATGCAGGAGTGGAAGGGGACGGTGGTATGAGCCTCCCAAAATGGAGAAAAGAGCATTTCCACACGACCCCATTAGCAAGGTGCTCACAGAGCTGTTATGGAAAAGCACATGTGGAGGGACAGCAGAACAAAACCAAATCCCACTGTCATGGCATTATTGGGAATGGGCTTCTGCACAGCCCAAGGCTGCCAAGCAGCAACACAAGAACACAGGGAGATCAGGAATAAACTCCTCTGGGACCCTGTCGGGGTGCCGAACATGCCACCTCCCCTTCCTAAGCTTTCTGGGTTCCCTGTGGCATTTAAAACCAATCCTGTTCCCGCTTTGTTGGGTAAACGTCGCTGTTCTCTTCTAAACATCCCCTTGCACTGCTGGGATTTCCCATAGGAAGCTCCAGTGTCACATCCCTGTCACAGTCAACGTGCCATCAGTGCCAACGTGCTGCACCCCGGCCCTGGCAGCAGCAGGAGGGAGGAATGAAAAACCCCCACACCTTCACTATTTTCCTATATCTGTTTGGAAAACACATCCCAGAACAACCTCTCCAAAACAACATCACTCCTCTGGCAAACAAAAAGGAAGTCAAAGGCAAACTATTTATTGTCAAACCCTCTTCCTTGGTTGTAAAATACTGCTTAATTTTATCCCTTAGGCATCTATTATCTCATAGCCCATATTATTTTTCCAGCTATTACTGCTGAATTTTCCCCGTCCAGAAAGTCCGTACAGACACAAGCCAATTTCCATCTTGGCATAATTGTTTAGGAGAAACAAGCAGCTGTTTCACTGGGGTCCTAAAGAATAGAGGGGGAATCGATGCTTCTCTCTCCGTGAGCTGCCCACAAGAAACCTTGGAGGAAAGTCACGTGTTCTCTGCCACCAGCACTGTCACCCTCCCAGGGGACCCTTGGTGATCAGGGCATCCTGCAAAGGCAGGGAGGAGAAGCTGGGGGAATCCACCAGACCCCTCATTTACAACCCCCCTCTGTAGTAGAAATAATAGTCTTTTTTTTTCTTTAAGTAAAAACTGCTGATTTTTAGTCAAAGCTTAAAATAAAAAGTAAAATCTATGGCTAATGGAATCTGCTTGTCAAAATGCTTGGACTGCTTCTGTCTCCCATTTTTGCCAGAATTTGTTTTACCTCCTGTTGGCTTGGTTGGGTTTTTTTACCAGCAGAGTTTCTGTGGGGGCTCAAAATTCTGCAAAATGCTAACACTGGCCATGTAAGCAAGCACAGGACCTTCTCAAGGAACAAAGTCCACAAGCCTCATTTTATGGAGACCTTGGCCATGTGATTACTGCTGTCAATTGGCACAGGAAGGACCAGCACACACCTGAAGAGGTGTAGGTTTGCAGAAGAGACCCCAGCAAACAATCTCTGCTTCTCAGACTAACCCAGACTGTAGCACAGAACAGATAAAAAATGGTAAACAAGCCTAGAAACTCTCACTAAAAATATATATGATTGAAGCAATTAAGTAATAAGCAAAATTGCAAAATAATGTAAAGGCATACAAACGAGCCAGAGTTCCTGGTGAAAGCTGTGGAAGACAAGGTGTGTCTGCATGGGTGAGGTGGACAGAAAGCTGGGTGCCCATCCTGGTTTGCATTCCCATGAGTACTTTCCATGCAGAAGTATGTCAGAGAATCAGAGAACATCCTGAGCTGGAAAGGACCCACAAGGATCATCCAGACCCGCTCCTGGCCTTGCCCAGACACCCCAACAATCCCTCTCTGTCCCTCAGAGCGTTGCCCAAACCCTCCTGGAGCTCTGGCAGCCTTGGGGCTGTGCCCACTGCCCTGGGGAGCCTGGGCAGTGCCCAACCACCCTCTGGGGGAAGAACCTTGTCCTGAGATCCAACCTGACCCTCCCTGGCACAGCTCCAGCCATTCCCTCAGGTCCTGTTGCTGGGGTAGGGATGTAATTCAGCCGAATTCCAATTTGGGTTAAACAGTTGCTGACACCATTTTCCCTTAAGACACAGCTATTTACAGTATCTTGGGATACTGGAGTTTACTTTCCATGTCATGCCTGCACGTCCAAGGACTTCCCAGTGAGTGGGTAGAAAGGGATTTGTGATATCACAGAGGAATAGGAAAACGTTCCTTAGGGACCATGCAAAGCCTAAGAGAGCTCAGTACCTGGCTGTGGGGCAGAGCATCCCCCACATCCTCCTTCATTCAAACACTGTATTCCTGCTTCCAACAAAAGACTTTCCCGTCCTGGCTTTAGATGCTCGATTAAAAAAAGAAGCACCAGAGCTTTGCCAGACTCCCATCCTGTCCAGTGGGTGTTCCCCCAGCAAACAGGAGCTGCAGGCAGAGGCCGCGTGGCAATGAGTCAGGGAGGCAGAAAGGCGTGAAAGCAGGATGAATGGAACGGCAATAAACCCGCAATATTTCAGCGTGGTGCTGAGCTCCTGGATAACCTCCATCCATCAGCGTTATCGGAGCCCGGGAGCTCTCCAGGGCTGTGCTCACAGCGGGGCCACTGGCACAGAAGGGCTGAGGCCACCGTGAGCTGTGCCAGGGGCTGGGGCCATCCAGCCACTCTCCATCTCCAGCCCCTCGGATCCTCCTCCAGAACAACGAGGAAAACACTCAGGCTTTTACCAGCATCTCACCCGAGGCATGGGAGAAAAGTGATGGGCAGCAAGTGCCCCAGGCCAGGAAATGGACCTGCTTGGGGACTCTCCAGGAAGGAGGAAAAGGGCTCACACATCTCGGGTCTGACCCCAGCAGCAATCCAGGTGCATTGCTTCAGGAACAGGAACCTGAGAAATATATTTAAAAAGGAAAGTTGTTCCCCGCAAAAAGCTGGAAAACAATTCAAAAGACCAAATCAGAAAAAGAAGATTCTTCTCAAGTCACCCTCAAAAACTCCAGTGCCCTTTCATTCTCCATTTCTCATGGAGGCACAAAGTGTGACAGCTTCTCTTTGGGGCAATGATGGGTAACCTTCCCCTTCTTCATATCTACAGAGAGATTACATTAACATCACTAGGAAGCAGAGGATAGGGACTACCTCAATCCTTTATTTCCTGGAGCATCAAGTACAAAATACACTCCCAGTCCATTTTTAGAAACAGTCACTTGTTTTTGCAGAAGGATCTAATGGCTGCCTGCACCTCCTGCCATCACTGCCCGTATCTTGCTCCATCCCCTCCATCCTGGTGGGAGATCCATCCACGCTTCCACAGCACAAAGCAGCCATGCACAGGCTCTCCCTGCATGTCAAGCTCATGGCATTACACAGAGAGCTGGCAGCCCCAAAAAACAGAGCTCTGCATCCCTCTCAATGACCTACAGCTTGGACACAGGTTGGGGCAACCTGTCCAGGCTGTGAATAAAAATCTCCACTCTCTCCTCCAAAAGAAGCTAATTCCCCATTAGTGCTGCAGCAAACTCAGGCAGTCAGCAAGAAAAAAGCTTTTTAAAGAGATATAACCAAGGATTTTTGTATTGAAACACACACCACAGATGGTGGAGCAGACGAGGATTAATTCATGAATCATATTTCTTAAATGATACAATCTCTCTTTTCACTTCCATACTTTCCCTTTTTGACTCAGAAGCAGGGATTTAAGATGCCCTTCCCAGATATGAATTTTGCATGAACTAACACTGCAGGGGTAAGAAAAAAACCCCCACAGCAGCAATAAACCAGAAAATCCAGATGTTTAAAAAGAAGATCTCGCATGTAAGTGAAGGCATTTCCTGTCCATCTACACAAGAACACGTGTGGAAATGCAATATATGCAAGCACAGAACTGGGAATGGGGCGGGGAAACGCATTCCCTAACATTTGGAGCTTACTAATGCTTCAGTCAGGGTTCTGAATTTCACAAAAGCTGATTTTCTGTCTCCTCCTATTTTATTCGCCACCCTCGCAGCAAAAGAAAAGCCTTAAGAGAAACATTTGTACTGAAAGGCCCTCCCCGCTCTGCCAGGCGGGTTTGTCCCTCCTCCAGCCCCCATCAACGCCTTCCTTCAGAAAATCCCGGCACAGGCACCGCCGGGTTGCTCTCCAGGAAAAGCTCGTGGAGCCCCCAGAACCGAGGGACTGCAGAAACCAGCAGAAGGCAAAACATCCTGCCCCGTGCACACGGATCCCCAGCCCAGCTGAGAGAGGTTTGAAGCGGGAGAGAGAAAGGAAATGACACGAGAGCTCTTCAGCAGCAGGAGACTCCGATCTCCCAGCTCCTGCTCAGCTGGGAACCTCCTTCAGACCAGCCAAAGCCATGCCAAGCCCCCACCCTGTGCAGAGCCACTGCTCCCACCCAGGCAGGAGCAGAGATGGATCCAGGCTGAGAAGAATCAGTACCAATACTCCAAACTGGCAGTACCAACATTCCAAACCACCGGCACGCTGCCCTTCTGGGCACCTTCTCACCTGCAATACCTTCCTTTCACCACCAAATCAGCATTTCAGTCATTTTTTCCACCTTGCACACAAAGCAGCTGTGCATGTGCTTAACAGCTTCTTTACACAGTCCTGCACTTACTATTGTGGCTTTACACACAAAATAAAGGTGAAAAAAATTACTTACCCTTCAATTATTTCAACCTTTCCCTGCTCTGTGTGTGACGTGGGCTTCTCTTTTGGTTACTATTTCCAGATTTGGTCTTTGGGTAGGTGAATGGAAGAGGAGAATGAAAGGAGTTGTATTTGATGACGATGAAGACTGCAAAATAAAGAGAAGCATTTCAGTCAGAACAGTCCTCTCTATACATACAGATCAGATTATATTAAATTAAATTAGTGACACCTACATAAATGCTTCCTACTGTTTTTACGCACACATACAAATATCACAACTGTCAAGGAGAATGTGGCTGTCAGTGATACGGCAGGGGGGAAAAAAAGAGCAATTTCTAAAATGGAAGGAGAAAAAGGAAATCTAGGATAACAACCAGCATTTGAGCAGCAGCAAAGGGGCTGCTGCCGGTTTGCAGGAGCCCATGGAACTGCCCTGGGAGCACCGGAAAGGGCTTGAGCAGCGTGGAAGCACCACGGGCAGAGAAACTGCAGCAACAACCCCGAGAAATGCTCTTCTGCTTCCCAAAATACCACATTGGCTTGTGAGAAAGCAGGGAAGGAGCCGAGTTTCAGAAGACACAATTCCCCCATCCCCTGGAATGATGGAAGGACTCCTAGAACAGGAAGGGATTAATAATTTGGTCACTGTACCAGGAAGCACCCCCCTAAAAACCAGATTAATCTCCCACCATCTGCTTTAATAGTAGAATTTCTGCTAAGTGGTTTTCCCCTCCACAGCCCCACACATCCATATAAACAGACAAACAAACCATTTGGCCTCCTGCAGCCCTGGCTACGCAGCTGCTCGGAGCAGGGCTGCTGCCTTTGACTCCATGCCAAGGCTGAATTCCTGCCATCCCATTTCCTCCTACACCTCAGGCCCTGCTCCCGTGCAAACTCTTGGGGTGCCTCCCCAAATCCCTGTCCATCTTACTTGGCAGCCTGGGATCCTTAAATATCATTTCATCGTAACTGAGAAAAAGAACCAAGATGAGGAATGACAGGAACTGACTTCCATGCTATTATTTTTCTCATGGCAACTCTCCCATCCTCTGGATGCAACTGGCACCTCCAGCACTGTGAGCCCCAGCCCAAACACCAAAAACACGCCTGAAAAGCATGTTTACAAAATTACTTCAGAGATGCCATGCCAGCTAGTGGAAAAAACCAAATCCTTGAGTCAAGGAGACTGTCTCTTTGGTTGGAAAATCACAAAGGTCACCTCAAGGAGTATGTAAAAATACATTGAAGAGGTAAAAACATAACACTAAATAACACTTTTTATACCCAGATCAGCATTTAACACTTGCCCAGAGGCCTTTGATAAATCCCAGGCACTTGAACAAAGCAAGGAAGCTTTTCACTGCTATTTAGCAGAACAGGGCAAGTAAAGCACAAGAGAATAAAACTGCTCAAGACATCTAGGACCAAGTCAAAAAGAAACAGTCAGGTCTCCACATCCAGCCCCTCCATCACCAAACACCCTGCCAGGCTGCTGGATTGAAATAGAAATACTATTGTTAGCCCTAAGAAACGCAGACTCATTAACATTTATTTTAGTGCTATAAAATATATTTTTAAATACTTGAAGAAATAATCTGGAGGAAGTGCTAAAGCCCAGAGCATATTTTCAGTATGTCCCAGCTTTTCCAGCTGGACAGACACAGACCCTCTTGGAGGCCACGGCGCGGGGACCTCCAGCCACCCAGAAAAGCAGCACATGCAACTCCCTGCCCCTGCTCCTCCTCCCAGGTTGTTCAGTTAGAGGTAAATCTAAAAATGTCACTGATTTTAATTACTCGTGGACAGCAGAAACCCCAAAGTATCATTCCCCCCAGGTTTTTAATGTGGGGGGGGTTATATGTGAATAACACTTGGAAAGTCAGGAACCCGATGCCTGCAGGGACACGTCCTAGAGGAGCTCGCCAGCAGAAACCCCTCAGCACAGACAAATCCTGGTGAACACCTCCCACAGAGCCACAGGTCAGTGTGCAGATCTCAGCACCTCACCCAAAAGCTAACGGAGACAAACAATGTTTGCAACTTGTGGAGCAGAAGCACGACCAGGGAGAGGAAAGAAGGCACCTCCCCACCCTCGTGAAGAGCAGCAGCCCCCACCCATCCCATGAGCTCTCAGGAGAGGGGTTTGGGGTTGGTTAAGAGGAGCAGTGGTTGTTCCAGCAGTATCCACAAGCACGTCCAGAGAAAAACACGGTGCGGGAGGATATTGAGCCACGGAGGCAGAAGAGATTCAGCACAGAGAACAGAACCCAGAGGGACACACGGACACACAGACACAGTGCCCTGCTTCTACCAAACCCAAATGTATCAAGAATGCAAAGGATGCACTTTATCTTGTATAAACACTTTATAAGACAACTTCAGTTTTCCATCTGATCCAGTCAGCCCTGGACCACCTTGGATAAAAGAAAACGGAAAGAGACAAGAAGGGAGAAGAAATAGTTTTCTTCTTTTTTACTGTCAAAAAAATTTATCACAGAGTTTGTGTTTCACAGGCTTCCCGTGCTTTCAGAGTGGTCTTTAATTGGTGTTTTGGTGGGGGGAAACAAAGGACCAAGACAATTTCTTCAGTTCCAGAGTGGGTTCAATAAACACCCACTGGGATTTGCCATCCCAAGCTTGGAGTCAACACCTTCCCCAGGACCAAGAGGCCACCCTGTCCCGGGGCACTGGCCACGGCACAACGGAGCTGGAGGAGCCAATGCTCTGATCTTTAAAGCCACCCATCTTTCCCCGGTGCGGAGAGGCAGGACGTGCTCTGGAGCCCAGCCACGGTGGTCCCTGGCACGGTGCAGATGGCAGCGGTTTGATACCCGGCACTCGACACAATCTGCACGAGCTGCAGCAGGCACCAAGTTCAAAGTCAAAATGAACATTTGTTCTACAACAAAACACATTGCAAATGATCCCTAACAAATTTTAGCTGTTGGTACAGTCAGATAAGAGCACAGTAGCACAGATCATCCCCGTTGTTACTGCAAGCTCTGTGCTGCTGAACATGTGAGTGGCAACGCAGAGAGAGCGCGATAGTTTGTATTTTGGTATAAATTATAGAGCAGCATAACAGACCTGAAGAGGCAGCTCCACTCTTCCCTGCATTGCTTCCCTCACATTTTGAAGCCCGTTAAATTTCTTCCTGTTTAGTTGCTTTATTTTGGTTCCTTGCTGCATAAAACTGTTGCGCGTACGCCGAGCGCCGAAGCCGAATAAATAATGGCAAAACTTTCCCTGCAAAAACTCTGAGAGCTGTTATGTAAAGCAGAGAGGGTATCAGCAGATAGAGACAACTCAGAGGCAACCTGAGGGTTGGGATTCTGTGTCAGCTCGACACACAGGGGAAATAACCCTTTAATCCAGTGCAGTGTATTTCATTTACTGTAGTGTTATCCGGTTCGAAGATGTTATGAAAGGAATCCCTGGAGAGACTTAAGACTTCAAAACCAGCCTGAGTTTGAACTTAATTCCACTGTTGCAAAAGGCTGGAGCTGTGGAAGATGACCTTTTCCGTACCTTGCATGCCAGGAGCCATCCTGCCTCATAATGTCACGCCAAATTAGAATATTCTCTTTTTGTTTTACTCAGGATTTTGTTTTGTCTTGTCTTTTTAATTAAAAGCATCTGTCACTATTAATGAAACAGGGGGAAAAAAAGAAAAAATATCAATAACATAAAAAAAATTAAAGCCAGTGATGTCCAGAGAGATGAGGAGAGTCAAAAAGCTGGATAATTAACAGCGGAACTTTCACCTCCACATGAGCTCACCACCAGAGCCCAGGTGAGGACTGAAGGAGCATTGGTGCCATCTCCTTGCTGCTCATCACCTGTCCAAAACAAAGGGAGGCTCCTCAGATCCATCCCCCAAATCCCATCAGCAGCAGGACCTTGGGTGGCCTCTTCTTGGACTGGAAATGAGAGGGGAAAAATACTTTTAAAGTGCAGACCCCAATATTGCTCAGGTCTTGTCAAGGTCATCCTAAATAAAAGTTCAGATACACTTTAAAAACCAGACCATAAATCCACGTTAGTGAATCAGAAGCTGGTGGAACCTCTGTGATGGCAGGGATGAAGGTGTGAGGTCTGATCTTCCATCAGACGGAGGAGCTTCACTGCCCAGGGAATATTTTTAAGCAATCCTGCAGGAAACTTATTGAACAAGTCATGGAAACCCCAGTTAAACTTGTTCACTACTGTTAATTGCCTCCATGGACTTTACTGTTTAGAGGTGGAACCATAAAAGGCCAGTTTTCACTCGTTGCATCTTCCAATTTGGATTGTGAGCGCAATTAAATGTACATTTATATTTTCCAAAAATAGGGTTCTCCCACAAAATACAAAATTAATTACAAAATGTCTTCCTAATGTGAAATTATTTAGCCTGTTAAAGTGGTACAAACAGCTTTATTGGATCATTAATGGTTAGAAATGTTCAGTCAGCACAGTTGGAAAAAATGTAAACTAAATATGTCAAGGATACGTTGCTTTCAACTCTCACTATTTTTTTCATGTCTTATTTCATGGTAGATAAGTGAAAAATCTTTTTACCTGACTTAGTGAGAGGTTCATTTACTCATGCAAATTTAAAACCAAGTGTCATAATACAATGAAATTATAAAAACATATCAAAAAGGAGTTAGTGAGTCACTAAATTTAGCTCCTAATGGAGTTCAAGCTGTCTTACACAGCTGGTGCTCTGTAAACACCAGAGCGGAGCTCGGAAACCATCCCATGTGCCTGGGGTTTCTGGAGAAGTCCTTCATGTTTCCAGCCCTCCTCACCTGGATCTAAGGGAAACTCGGATTTTGATCCCAGCCAAGGTTAGGAAGACACCCAGCATTAAATAAATTAAAATCTATAGTGAAGAGCTCTGGGCAAGCACCAGGTTCTGAGGAGCCACATTCCAAACTCCGGTACCGGAGCAGACCTGGGGTGATTTGCAGGCGAGATACTCAACATCCCTCGGGATTTCCCTACAGCACAGCAGGGCTGACACAGGGAAGTGCTGACTTTGTGGGCTGGAAGATACTGAGCAACTCGAGGGCTTGGCTCAGATCTGTGCAGATCCACACAACAAGGCAAACTGGTGCAGGTGAAACAACGGCAGCAAACCAGGTGCCGAGGCAGGAG